TTTTTTTTGTAAGATGATCGAGTTTTGTTGCTATCGAGCTTCCATTTAAATGTAAATATACATATTACTGGGTGTATCTGTAGAGCAACATAGATTCGGTGTTTTCATCGGCACGTGTAACGCTAATTTTTCAGTACGAGTTGATCGAATTCGACGATATTTGGCTGTCGCATGCCGAGCAGTACCGCTGGCTCCAAGTGGATTATCAAATCGGAGTATTTATCTCAAGATCGTCGGTCAATCTCGTTACGATTAATAAAATCTGGATCATGGCCGTGCTGCAGGTAACACGATCAATCACAAACTCTGTTTGCTCGCGTCCTAAACGGCAACGTACGGAGCTGTTGACTTCGTCGCGCCTGTAATACACACACGATTTATGATAATCCCGTGTTTGTTTCAGTTCCTCAACGTTCTGGTACTTCTGTTCGAAACGCTCTTCTACTATCTACCCAGCATTTGGATTGTGTTCACGTTCGTCTTGTGGGAAGGACTTCTCGGTGGCGGAGCGTACGTGAACACCTTCTATCGAATGTCCACCGAGGTAACGTAGCTTTACTTGTCGTCGATTCCGCAATTATGTATAATCTTTGCTCGTCTAAAAATAGTTGGCAGTCGCGTCGATTTCTTCGAATGTCATTAAAGAGTAAACACGTGTTCTTCTCTGTCAATTCACAGATTCCAAGGGCCGATCGTAAAATATCCTTGGGGATTGCCACGATGGCCGATTCGATCGGAATCGCGATGGCAGGATGGCTGTCTATGCCGGTTCACAACGCCATTTGCAGATTGCCGAAACCGTCTCGAGTGGGAAGCTAGGAGACACAAGAGAGACACAAGATAGTATTTAATAACGATCATGCGGATAAGCAGAATCGCCGTAGCGTGATACATACGTTATTTATTACCAAATCTTCTTTTACCAGCGTTCTTCGTGCGCTGTTCATGCGCCATTACAGTTTCCAATCACCACTTGTTAGCAAAACGCGATTAATGAACATTGCGATGAACAAGCTTGATACTTCGTAACATTAACACCGCAGAAGTATTCGATGCCGTATTTGTCGTTTGATCTTCCATCGAACGATGCTCGAAGGGTGAACTACGATTCACATGGGAGTGTTGTCGATACCGATGTTCCTGAATGAAAACGAAAAGAAATTCAACTCGCTAGATTGTAAGTTCGATCGTTCTGAGATTTATTTGGTACAAATATTTAAAAGACTAGGAACAGGATTGTTATACAACTGGTTGGTTTTCGTTTCTTTTTTTTTTTTTTTTTTTAAGAAGAATAAGAAGAAGAAGGAATAGAAAGAAGGGAAGACAGAGTAAACCAGAGAAATTAGACGTAGACGAGGAGGTCTCGTCTCGATTTAAGATTCACGCGTATGCAGCAAAATTCGATCGCCGTAGTCGCAACAAAATATAAACGCTTTTTATAGAATAAAACGCGACGAACATTTTCTGACTATGGCTAACATGCGTACATTATGCGCGTTTTTATCGCGCGTCCTTAGCTAGTAGGTTTTCACGCCGTTTAATGTTTGGTTGTTCCAATTACGAGAACGACGTCAGTATTTATAGTCAGCGTAACGCATCGATTTTCACCAGGCGTCGTAACTAGGTGTATTCGACGAAGAAAAAACAGCGAGTTCGATTTACGATATTTTTCTTTCCGCGTACAAACGATCGTGTGGACGACTCATAATATTACTGACAGGATTAACTCGTGTTATTCCGTTAAATCGATACGAGTTTTGTATTTCGCTTGATCACGATACAATATCATAACACGGGCTGTGTGCATTGTTTTTTTTTTGTGAAAATTGTTTTATTCTTTTTTTCTCTTTTTCAATCCACACGACAAACGAAATTTCAAACATTCCTCGCCGAGAACAGTAACTGCTACAACACGCGGAAGTATTAATTAGAATAATTGTAACGCCGAGTCGCGGAGAGGTAAATAAAGAAGGACCGGAAATTTCGACGAACGATCCATTCGTCGCCATTGTGGGAAAAGGTCCTTTTCATTTTTCTAACAAAATAATTCGCTTTTTCCTAAGTATACATATTGTATATGTGATATATCGATAATACTGTTTCCTACA